CATTGTCTCCTAGACTGACATAACTTGCTTTCTTCGCGATGTAGTTTATAATTTGCGTATGATTTAACTCAAAAGTTGCCGTCGTTTTGTAGTTCTTGATTCAGGTTGAGGCCATGCATTCTAATACGTCTAATCGACGTACACGGCAGGATTTGGGAGGCGATCTCCGCCCCCCATCTATGCTGCTTGCTGAAAAGTGAGCCTTTCGCATCCTGAATTGTTATGTCTGAGTGTGATAGCGTAAGTCTCCATACTGCGAGCCGCTCTAAAATTTTGCCCACGGGACGTCACTTTGAACTGCTGGGCGGTCCTGCCGCCTCGACCCTACTCTTTTCCTGCCCGAGTTATTGCGTTTCTTCCCTTGTGTGGCTCCTCAGGAAGGATTGGCCTACCCTGTCATGAGATCGTAGTGCTGCGACCAGGATCCCTTTTCTGAGGACTTCCGTAGGGTCGAAAAAGTGACGCCTGATCCAATTGCATATCACCATTATGCCCTCTCTGCCAAAGTATCGGAGCCTAACGGGATGTCATTTGTGGAAATTGGATTTGAATGGCCAAATGCTGAATGTTAGGGGGGGGGATGTAGACTAAATACTTTTTTATGAAAAGGGAACTAGCTCCAAACGTAGCTTGTGTCGACACATTTTTAGAAAATATAAAAAGGTCCCGTGAGTTGACTAGTTTTATTTATTTATTTATGGATGCGCTATTCCTGATACAACAGAGTACAGCTTATGCAGAAAAAGGTTGATAGACCTTAACGATGGAAAAAAAAACTTCCACATAAGCGAGAGAAAAGCGAAATTTTGTTTTGTTTATTTTTATTGGCCGAGTTGTTCTTAGAATATATTACAATCATAGTAAGATCGGATGGGGCTAGGGATAACGCCACTGCTTGACGGCTATGGCATATATGTACAGAATCTAAACTGAATTTTCGGATGTTAGGTATTCCCTAGCCCTAACAATTCAGTTTCGGACCCGCCTGCATATAATTTGATCTAGAACAATTTTTTATGAGAAATCTTGGCAAAAAATCCATGTGCTGACATTAGCTCCTGTACCCTCAAAGGGCTCAAATTCTCCTGTTCGGTCTTGCTATTGCAGGGTAAGGCAGAAATATAGTGACAAAGTAATTGTGATCCATTACGTACACGGAAACTCGAAATTGGATATCGATATAATAAAGCTTGAGCATCACAAACAGATTTTAACCGTCCCTTACTCAGATTTATCGCTCATGAACTTGATAACGTCATTCAAGCGTATTACAGCCATCGATCGTGACAACCTTCGGAATTCTACCTTATACTATGAGCAGCTTTTTGGCGACGTGTTTGAACTGCTTTGTTCTCAGCATTCTTTAGTTTCATTATGGACCACTTCGAACAATCCCCTACATTGAAATTGGGAGACTTGATTGGCCAGTCTTCGTGCGACAAATTCGGACATATGGATTCGACACCAGATTTGGATAACGTATTGAATTTGAATCAGCACACCGCCTTGCTAGTACATAAATTCAATAGTTGTGAATAGTGTAGCTTACGGCAGTGTCTTCGTGAATAAATTCTGTGAGATCTGACTTCTCTTATTTCACTTCAGTGAACACCGAAGATGATGGAAAGATGGAAAGGGAACGAAACTGACGGAGAGGGAGAGATGGTGCTTACTCAGGTTCAATTCATCGCTGACAGAGGGTAAATTCGACTGACGTTTTGTGTATTCTTCCATAGGGTGGCGAAAAATTACGTGCACCATAAAACACGCCCAATCTTTATTTCCTATAACAAATTTCAAGTCCTCTCATCTTGAAACCTCGGCATGTTCGTTGATGTTGTAGTTGTTTTTACTTCTGCCTTGAGGTTGTTAGGTGGTAAATTTTATTCTGGCCAACGTTTCGACGGACTCGTCGTTTTCAAAGGCCTGAAAATGGCTCAAAGCTTACGAATTGCACACTACCCACCAAACGCCTCCTCCGCTCTAGCGTTTCTGACGTTCTGTCAGGAACGCTCGGAAAACACCCAAAATTCGAAAGATAAGCTCACCTTTTACCACCGCGAAGTGTAGCAGGGTGCTACACACAGTCAGTACATTAGTAGCGAATGACCTTACTCTGTTGTCCTTATGCAATTTTGATATTGCGGACACGTTCGCTAACTATGGAAGTAACTCGCAGTGTTGCATGAATGGCAAGAGATCATTTGTGATTGACACACCCTCATTTCGGTTGTTCATCTCTGGATTTCTAGCTAAATCCAGAACGCTTCCAACGCTTTTCTCGACGAAATCTCCGTCTCGTGAGCCAATATCGTACACCTGATGTTAAAATCACTGCCATCATGCTGTTCTATTCTGTGTTTTCCTAACGGGGTCCACACATTACTGCGCCGTTTACCAGCTAGATGCTCTTTGACTCGTACTGATAAAACTCTACCAGTTTCCCCTATGTAAGTTGAATTACATGCCTCACACTGAATCTGATAAATTACGCCCGCAGAAGCGCAATCTCCATCTCTACCATTTGGACATGTAACGCAACCCTCTGTCAAGCACTGCCTATCGTAGAGTCTGTTCCTCACAATTTGGCGTTTGATGTTATCATTCGGAATGTTGACTAGAACAACATCATCGCTCAATTGTGCCCGAACAATACATCGTTGTATTGCAGCAGATACCTTGTCAGAGATGAACGGCAAGCATAGAGGAAGTTTGTTTTGGCGCGAGGTGTTCCTGCTGTCAACGTGGGATCTTCTGATGTTATGTGATACCATAGCCGTTTGACCGCTATACTCGAAGCTAATCGTCTTGATTCATCCCGTCCGGCTACATCACTGCACATGCGCGTGGCTGTTCTATACATGTTCCTAATAACAGCGCGTTTAACAGCGGACGGATGTGCAGATGTAGCGTGAACCAAGATGTTCTTTGAACTTCCTTTTCGGTACCACTTCACTTGTACGATGCCGCTAGACACTCTAACCTGTGTGTTGAGGTAGGGGAGCCAACCGTCTTTTGGTGTTTCTCGTGTGAGCTTGATGTACTGTGACTGCTCATTCATTAACGGAAACACTCATCCATTTCGGACTGTGTTGATGTTATAATGAAACAGTCGTCTATATATCTGCAGTACATCAATGGTAAGCGTGCTCAGTACTGGTTCTTCAATTCTGCTCATAAAGCAGACGCAAGTACGGGAGCTAACCGTTGACCCATGGCCAAACCTCTAATTTGAGCATAGTATAAACCTGACCTTCTGAAGATAGTGCAACAAAGGCATTCCTTGATGAGATGATGATCAGATCATGATGAGATCATGATGCGTGCTTTACCGAAGTCCAAAAGTCTCAATACTCCTACCATGCCTATCCAACATTTCGGATAGCGCTTGTAGGGCTTGTTCATTTTGGACGTTGGTGTAAAGCGAGGTGACGTCAAATGACTCTATTACGCAACTTGAACCGAGGCACAAGTTGCGCAAATGCTCGAGGAACTGGTTGGTATTGGACGGGTGAGAGGGGATCTTGGTCAACAACTGGCTCACAATGCAGTTTAGGTAACCATGGAATTCCATCGGTTGGTCCACCTACGCAGATTATAATTGGACGTATTTTAAAAGTGTCCGCGGACGTTGACAGCAGTTCGTCAGGCGCAAGTTTGTGGGTTTTCATCCAAGCTGTAAAAACAGGACAACTAGGGGAGTCTATCTTCAGTCTACAAAGGAACCTCTCATCAGGACCTGCAGATTTGCCTTCTGTCATCCAGATATGGTTGAGACGTCTGCATTGTGATGGAAATTCCTTAGCTGTTGCACGGCGGTATGTGGTCGTATCCCGCAAGTGAATTTCTGTTATTGCACGATCCAAGAACTGTGACATCACAACAAATTCTCTCCCTTTATCGCTAACAGAGACTCTTATTGTACCGTTTGATCTTAGCTCGCGTATTTGAACCATTGCCGTTGCTCGAATGTTAAGTTGCTGTGCTTCATTTCCTGTCCCCAAATATTTGAAAGTTGTTTTACAAAACATCGAACCATGAAGTTATCACTGCAGAAAGATTTGGAGTACATACCTGAAGTTTAATGGATCCAAATTTCGACTGTACTCAGACCACGAAACCATCTCTAAAAAACAGCCGATACTGGTCTATAGGAAGTGGATCGTTGTTATTAGTCCATGGATCAGTGCCCATTCCTGTAAAAAAATAGAACTTATGACTTTGCTTCCAGAGAACCACAGCTTTCTTGAGATCTCTTCTTGATAGACCTTCCCATTGATTTCCACGCTTTTATCGATAAAAACCTGTGGAGGCCTGCCGAAGCACTGATCCAGCCTCAAATCATCAAATTTCCAGGGATAGAGATTCTTGCGATTCTACCGAAAACGAAAAATCGAGAGCTTGACATAGGGTGGATATCTTGCACGGATTTGTGGATTGCATGTTTGTTTGTTGTTTTTGCCGGTGTTGCTAATCTATTCAGGGTGAAACTCCAGTTCGGGGGGCCACTCCATTGCTATCTTATCCGTAGTACTAGAGAGCAGTTCTTTGGGCTATCGAACACTACGGATAAGATAATAAGTGAACGACTCATTTCGAGCGTACTTTTGATAAGGACCGGTGGATGTCCTACATTCCACACTACCTGCCCACATCCCATCCACTTTTCTGCACAGGTGATCCACCCTGGAGCTCCTGCACCCTTAGCCCTTTGCGGAGGTGTCCTTTCTCCTGGTCCAGGACCGTTCCCTTGGGTCATGGCAGGCGGAAATGTGAAATTTCAGGGTTTCTCACCCATTACACCAATATTTATCAGAAGTCTACTTTAAATGAGTCGATTACGTGTCGTGAGCCCTCTAATCCTTATCTTGAGTATTGGAGAAAAAATGGAGTGCCCCCCCCCCGAACTGGAGTTTCACCTCTATTCAGTTGAAGTCCTACGTAGTCTGTTCCATGCATGCATATTTGTGGCACTCCTTAGTTGTCCTTCTACTTGTTTCATGCATGCATATTTGTGGCCTTCCTTGGTTGTCCGGATCACAAGCAATAATATACGTATATACCGTCTTTCAGCACCACCCACGTTTGATGCGTCACAGAGCGAGAAAACCTTGAAGGTTATAATAGGGCAACCTGTGAACCTAAAATGTCCCGCCAGAGGATATCCGCCACCAAAAATAGTTTGGGCAAATGATCACGGCGAAGTACCAGGTGGGTAATAATAAGAAATGATACCACTTTTCTGAACAAAAAATATGTTTCTAGTACTTAATGGTCGCTTTGAAGCTCTTCGATTAATATTTATGAGCCAGCTTTCAGCATAAATAACGCATACGTACTTGTCTTTTTCGGTCCCCAAGATAGTCCTTCAGCTGGCGATATTCTCAGCGGAATCCACAGCTCTTTCATGCTTTCTGGTTTCTGGTGACTTTCATTCAGTGTAGACCACCTTGTCTGAAATGCTTTAAATACTAGTTGGTCCATTTTTTCTTTTGGAAGCCATTCAGTGACCTGAAGACTCCATCTGGTATCTTCTCGGCGAAGCACATGACCGGCCCAACGATGCTTCGATTGCGCCATGTATGGAATCTTTCAGATGTGACCGCTCCCTTAATTCTGAACTTCGTAGGCTCTGCTCTCCATTGTTGATGTCGACTAATTTTCAGAAAACTTCTTTCTAGCCCACGATGTACATATTGTTTGCATGGCTTGGCTATTGTCTATGCTCAGGCCATGTTTCAGTGGCATAACACATTGCTGGCAACACTGAAGCACTGAATATAGAGCCTCTAGAGTCGGAGTCCTTTTGGACTGTTCCTTCTCTAATGAATCCAAAGGAGCACGTCTCTCGGTTACATCAGGTGCAGTATTGTTCGTCATGTTGACCTCTCTTTCCAGATAGACGTAGGATTCTACTCTTTTTGAGAGTTCTTCCTGCTAGTTTTATTCTACCTGTATCACACCACTGGTTTACCATCATTTGCGTTTTGGACATGTTCATTTCTTCATTTCCAAGCCGATCTTCAGGCCTTCCACATTGAGTTCGTTGACCATTTCTTCCATCTTCGATTGTGATGTTAGATATCAAAACCATATCATCAGCGAAGCAGAGGTTACTCATCTGAAATTTTGGAGCCTTTCGATAATTAAATTTTTATAAGAAGGAGATATATTAGGTTGGCACGATTGAAATGTCGCTTCCGTTTGTGCCTTTGTTTCTCAGCTTAAACACAATCTCTTAGGATGGGAGACCATTCATTCGAAAGAGCGATTCAGCACGCATATTGCGAAATCTTAGGCGCCACTGAGCGGATGTTCTTCGAGCCAAAACTTTTGCTCGAAGATGATGATCAGAAATCATCGTCTGAGCGTATATATTCAAGCAAGGAAAAACGGCCAACGAATCCCACTCATTGTGTGCAAAACATTGAGCAGTAACACTTAGTCTCTGATGCACTTTCAGCTATGGTTTCAGCTCTTCCAAGACTGAGGTAAAGGACCTGGTGAATTTTGACCTCTAGCTCTAGATGACGGAGAAATAAAAAGCCAACGAATTGAGTCCTCGACAAACCGCACAAAACTTGCATGGAGATTCAGTTGTGTCAACAGAAAAATTTAAAAGTTCCTACGTGCGACTGTTAAGGCCTTTCAGGATAGAAAATGGGTTCGGCCTATTCTGAGCGACGCGAGCAAGCAGTACTGGTTGCCAATACTGGAACTTCGCTCCATAACTTCAAGAGGAAAAAGGTTCTTGACTTCGTGTTGACCGCATTTTACAAAGAGATGTTTCCCAATAACAACGCGAGAAGACGACCGTGGTTGGCGGCTGATGGACAGCTGAGGGTGACTTCGAAACCAGACATCCACGGAAACAAAGTCATGTTTTTATATGGTGATATAGTATAGCAACGGTGTACCACGGAATGCTGATTGTGGGTTATACAGTTACAGCTGAACTCTGCGTATAACAGCTCCACCACGTGGGCCGAGCTCCGCGTCGTCAAAGGGTAAATTCGGCCAATGAAAAATTATGGCACGATAATGCAAGACCACATGTCGCGAAAATCTTGCAACAAGAAATCGAGGAGTTGGGCTGGGACGCTCTACCTCTCGCGCCATATAGCCCAGGTCTGGCGCCGTCCGACTATCACTGACCCAGGTCAGCGCAACACTCCTTAGCAGCAAACCAATTCGATAACCGCGACGACGTCAAAATTTGAGTGCCCAACTTCTTCGAGTCGAACCAGAAAGAGTTCTACGCGGTAGGCATCCATGCTTTGCGTAACAAAAGGTGATGAGCCTGTGACACAGGTGAAGGAGATGGTTCAGGTTGATGTGCTTCATTATTGTTTTTATAATGAAAATAATTGATGATCGAAAACGACATTCAATCTGGCCAACCTAATAGTTACAATATAAAGACGCAAATACTCGTTCTTCACAAGGAGAAATCGAGGTACGTATCGCTACCTTCAGCAGACCTAAGCTTTGCAGCGAATTTCTAGAAGCACGTTTTTGTTGAGTTAGAGTGAATGGGAAAATGAGAGAAGTCGGAGTAGATAATCACCTGCGTCACATGCAGTCCCGTTGACGGTGAGTTCTTCAAACAAGAGCCAGCGAGATTTGGTCTTCATCACCAATTGGGTACCATAGCAGTACGGTATGTCATCCTCGCCCTATGAACTCGCTTATCACTCTATTCATATTCGCTACTATTCGCTTCACCGGTGAGCTAATGAGCTAGGACTTCGAACCAGTTTCAGGTCCTGAAGACGACGAATTGTCGAAACGTTGACCAATAAACGTGTTCCACCATAACAACCTGTATGGCACAGAAGAAAACATTACCATGTATTCCCAAAACCGGAAACAAGCCTTCCTTCAGTGCCCTTGCCGTCTCCAGAATATGACGTCATCTGCCGTCACCGTCGAGCTCAACGAGGCTTACCGTAATCGCTCCGACCTGAAGCTGCTACATAATTTCTTCAGTCGGTTAACGGTGAATAGCTTCCAGAGACATTAGCTGTGACTATGCAGATCGCTTCGATCAGTGTTAAGATGGCGGCGCAGTGGTGTATGATCCTACGGCCTCGTTGAGCTCGTACCGTGCACCATGTTTCCGTGGGAAAATCTTCTGATGTCGTCGGTGTAGAAGGCTGTTATGTAGTTTTTGATAGATTAGAATGTGCTCTTCAATATTCAATTGGGCTCATTCGGTTTGGTTTGGAAAAGTGTAACTAATTCCGTCTTTGAATGTGGAGGAGGTGACTCTTTTCTTGCTCCCCCCCCCCCTGTAGTGCAGTTGTACATTTCCAATGATATAACAGACCTTAAAAAACACCAAAGATGTTATATATAGATTGCCAACATCCAGTTGTGGATGCTCACTTTTCCCCTTCGTTTTTCTTTTATAACTGGAGAGAGGGGTTTGATGATGCTTTTCAATCACAAGAACTGGCGCCTTTCCTTCGGGTGGAAGTTTAAATCAACGCAAGTGATTCCAGGAAGCGACACTATTAAAATTTCGAATGGCGGACAAATGCTGGAAATAAAGGAATCACAGATAGAACATGCCGGCTCGTGGGTTTGCACGGCGGAAAACGATGCTGGCGAGGAAAAACTGGAGATTTTCCTAGATGTCTGGAGTAAGTGTTGAAATTCATAGAAAATACAATCAATTCAAAGCATTTACACATTATATGTAAGAACTTGCGCATGTCCGTGTGTTCACATTGAAATAGTAGGTAGAAGTTGTTTTAGTCCCGCCTACAGTACACGTAAGCTCTGATGCAGATGCGAAAGTGATAGGCGATCCTGTAACACTGGTATGCGAAGCAACGGGAAACCCTCCGCCTTCTATTGAGTGGAGCAAGGAAGAACGACCCATTATCGATCACCTAGACGGCATACACTTCACAAATGAAGTAGTTTCATGCTTGAGTTTTCCAGAAAGCAGCCTTCAACCACAAAATGTAGCAAGATTTTGAAGGGAGCTCGTCTGAACATTGCTCATTTGGAGAGTCACAATGCAGGGAACTACACATGCAAGGCCAGAAATGAAGCGGGGAGTGCCGAATCAACTGTGCTCGTGAATATTCTTGGTAGATTCGTTACTGTAGGCGGGAAGGTACGGTCATATTGTACTGAATTCCAGTTCCACCGTCCATTTATCGGAATGACGTTGAAGAGGAACCAAAACTTCCAATCGGTCAACCTCTCATACTGAACTGCAATGCCAGTGGAAGCCCAGAACCAGAAATAAAATGGTATGCTAGTTTCTGATTAGGATGGTAAGTTGAAATCACCATTCAAAGTGAAAGCATTCATTCTCAAAGGCAAATCCAGGGATCAGCCTGACATTTGGGCGTCCCGCTAGAGATATTCCAAAGGGTGGTTAGGACACTAAACCTTACGGGCCTGCAACCATCGACCCCGTTGCAACGCTTCCCACCCACCTCGATATCGGCGTGCTCTCTCGAACGGCGTGATCTCTCGCGTGTTTTGTCTTCTTTGACCGCCCTGCTCGCCATCGTACCACATCCGACCTTTTTGAAGGTTAAGGCCTTAATTTCAGCGTTCCCAAAGATTTCTCTTGCTTTCCTTTCCACTTTCAGGTCGTTCCGCAGCTCAGTCATCACTACGAAGCGCTCTTAGCACCAGTTTTATCCCGGAGCTTGCCCTTTAATCCTTGAATGCTGTTTACAAATTACATGGCCGTCTCACCATTGAAGTCATGATGGGTTTCTCTGACACAAATAGCGGGATGTCCCAACACTTATAGAAGCGGATTTACAGAACTCATTTCAGAGATTGGACCTTTCTGCGCGCTTTCTTCGTGCTTTTTTTTAATGTAGGTCCTCTTCAGGAATTGTTGTGTCATGAGTCTTCATCACTGCTCAAAACTGTCACCGTTGTTCTGTTCTTGATTGAGCTCCACTAAGTTTCTTGCTTCGACTTTGTAGCAGGGTGGTCACCTATCCCAGCGCAAATTTTTCCCAACTTTAGAACGAGCTTGTAAGATCGTCGTCTTTGCAGATTTGAGTGCATCGAGTGCATTTTGTCGTCTGTGCAAATGGTGTTGAAGTTTCTACAATAGATACTAGTTGGTGAAAGCGAGATATTCAGTGTACGGTGGGTGGAAAAGGATAGTGCAGCCGTACGTTGCACATTCGTTCTGGGCTGCTATTTCTTCCGTACTTTCTTCACCAATAACCATCTGTTTCTTGACAGTGGAAAAAAATGTTAAGGCTGCTTCCATCTTTGCGTCTGTGACACTAATCTTTCCACTTTTTGAGCCCCTTGCTGTGCCATGGGGGTTGGTGGTTGTGCTGATGCATGCTCCTTTCTTCCATACTGTGGCTGCTCCATTGCGCCCCGCGTTTGCTGACCACGCTGCCGGCGAGGCGTGTGGGGTGCCTTCTCATTGAACGCTTTGCACCCGTTTTTCGGACATTGTCAAAGAGTCCAGCTTTAGCGGAGTCGATGTACCTATTATGTTAGCGAAACCAAGTGTCTTTCTTCCATTTATATTTCCCACTGACTTGCGATCTACCCTTGCCCTAGAGGTACACTACCCAATCCTTATGGGCCGTAAGATGGATCGCTTATTGTAGGAAAAATATTGTAAATGGAGGCATCCCTGAGCCTCATTTGTTGAATATTTTCTCTTTAGCAAATCTTTGTAGTTGTTGAGGACTCTTTCTTTTCAAGCTTTATTGGTGAGCTTTCGCTGATATAACAGCTTCCTCAGACCTAGAAAAAGTTACAAGCATATCACAATTAAACAGCCTTTACAATACTTATAGCAAATGATAACTAACTGACCAGGCGGCTACTTTCAATTAAAGGAATTCTGCAAACAACGAGACTGCAAAGTTAAGCTACAATCCGAACTAACACAATTGGCGACAATAGAATGATGACACCTTACCCTAGGACAGTCGCTAACCAAATGAAAAGTACTCAGACTGAGCACTTTCCTTTCCAAGGAGAAATCCTTCGAGCGGTGGAGCACGGTGACTTTTATGGTAGGAGGCGGTTCTTGTCCGTGGTAAAGTGTACGATGTCGCGAAAAACCGCTGTTTGGATATGACGAAGGGTTTCTCAGCGCTCGTACATGTTCAATCCTTTTGTATAGCGGCCTCATGGTTTCTCCAACGTACTTGCGATCGCACACTTCACAAGTGACCAAATAAACGGTCCCTTGTAACTGGCAGATCTTCTTATCCGTGCAGTACGAGCAGTTTCTTCAACCACACTTCTCTTCATAGAACCTCATGACGTAAGCAAGCTGTTACATCAGCGAAAGCTCACCACTAAAGCTTGAAAAGAAAGGGTCTTCATCAACTACAAATATTTGCTAAAGAGAAAATGTTCTAGAAAAAATGATGATGTAATGCCAATCGGTTTGTATTGACCATGCCGTTTATTTCTTCGTTCGTTGGTGTCATCTCGTCAAGACTGGCTAAGGCATTCTGCATCATTCACACGCTTTCACTCAAAATGAATCCACTCTTCGGTGGCGAATTCTCCATGCAAAACCTTGAAAGCAAATTTTGCACGAGAATTGGTCCATCGAGAGGCACACGCTTCTCTTCGAGCCGAGTCATTAATAGACGAATTACATCCAGAAGTCGGCGTTGTACAGAGGTTGGTCTTTGGCCCTTGTACTTTCCAAGCAAGACTGCAGCGATGGATTTATATCGTCGCAGTACTTTTTGCATAGGAGTTCAACAGCATGTACAAAATAGTCCTTCATCAGGGGACAGCAGCGCACGGCTTCCCGAGCCTCTCTGCAGTGCATTCAGCAAGCGGTTGAGTTTTTGCAGCTTGGCCAATGCTTGATTAAACGTTGACTGCAGGAAGCTTTTCAAATATTAAATATTACAGTCTTCTTAATTATTTTCGAGTATTGCAGTTGAAAGGGATGATAGGTGGCAATCTTTGCCGCGCAACCTCTAATTCTCTCGAAGTCGCATGGCCGCGCTATAGTTGTTGGATGACACTGTCTGTGCAAGATCGAGGACAATGTGCACTCTAATTACGTAGTTCATCGACTTGCTTGTTTTGCTCCTTCGCGAGCAAATCACACATAGCTGTAAAGGAGCCCATCTCCAATGACCATGGCCATCTGTAGTGCTCTTTTATATCACACTGCCACGAATAATTTGATATGGCTTCGAGTTTTGATCCTTTCATTTGCGAGGTATGGTGAAATGTTGGAGCCACACGCCAATGCTCATGGAAACATCGTTGAATTCGTTCCTCTCGTCACCTAAAAATGAAAAAATCCTTCAAATGTTGTCACAAACTACGCACGTGGGACTTTCCTTACTTTTTCCCGTCCTTGTGGACAGAATATCTGGAGAGGAGACCTATCTGTCCAATGAAAGGCAATGTCCAACACAGCAACTGAATGGTCATGGAAAATGTGGCCGGCCACAGTGCCTGAAATATGACTGGACATTCTTGATTATAGGTATGTGAACGGCCGTGAAATTTCTTCTTCTGTAGATGGAATCGAGCTGGGATTTGCAAACAAATTTATAAAGGTGATTTTATTCCAGTGGTAGCGAGCTCATTGTCTATTGTGAGGCTGTTTCTAGATAACTAATATAACTGAACAAGATGAAGGGAACTACACTTGTGTGGCGCTGAACAGAGCGGGAAATGACTCGATGTTCTATACCGTCGGTGTTGTACGTAAGTGAGGTCAAATTTTAATTCCAAATGTGCCATATTTTGCAAAATTCTTAGAAGCTCCTACGATTCCTCCCGGTGGAGCGCAATCAGTAGTAGAGGGGAAAATGGCCAATATTGAATGCGCTGCTGAAGGACATCCTGCACCTGTCATTATCTGGTTGAGAAATGGTATACGCGTGGAAAGTGGTATACAAGGAGTTCGCTATGTCACCGAGAATAAAGTTGGTCTTTTAAGAAATATGATGACCTCTCCCTGAACCTTTATTTTTGTTGAGGTGCTCACTATTACTGAAGTACGTAGTTCCGATTCTGGCATTTATGTGTGCGAAGCGATGAACGAGGCAGGAACAGCGCGACAAGCGTATACCCTTGAGGTATTGGGTGAGTGAAACTGAATTATCAAAAACAGAAAAGAAAACCTATGAAACATCGTTCACACTCCGTGAGACTCTCCAGGTAAGCAGCAAATGCGTGACCGTTCGAAGTTTGTTGTCTGGCTCCAAAACCTTTCGCTCAAAAATGTAATATAAAAATCCCTTCTTTTCTGGAAGTTTTTGAAAACAGCTTATCTCAAGTAACCTTTCATTGATCGGGGTGCTTTAGTAGCTATAGTTACATCGTTGAGTTGGCCGATGCTAAGAAATCTAGTCCCACACCTAATTTGAACCTCCTCGGTATCGATTGAATCTTGTTCAAGCTCTGCTGCTTTTGACGTCTTTCAAGTCGAACAGAAGAATTTTCCAGGACGCTGCGCATGATATCCATATTTTGATGATCACTCATTCCGAACGCTTACAACAGCAGTAGTAGACACGCATCACAACTGGAAGTGGGCAGCTGATGGCTTCCTCCTCCTTTCCTTCCCCCTCGGCAAGAATACAGTGCTTGTGATGATAATCATACTCAGTATGACGCATCCTCAAAAAAGCCGTAATTAAACTCTAATGATATCCATGACATAATGGTTGTTGATATCGTCATCAGCATGCTTGGAAACCTTTGGGAATAAGGGATTATGCAAATCGGAGGGAAGTTGGGCATTTCTCTTTCATAATCATAGACGCACTTTGAAAACCCTACAAAACTGGACACTTAGGAAAGTTACCCTTTTGAGAAAGCTATGATTAGCGGTCAGTACGGCGTATCATATCGCTAAATGGCTCGGGGTTCACTCCTGCCAGTGGACGAGCAAGCTCAGGTTCGCATCCTGGAGGGTGGTAACTCGCAACTGCAATGCCGTGCGAAGTCCACTCCGTTTAGCTCTCCGTGTCACCGCGTCGCACAGGGGGCACGGCTCCGATATGTTAAAAGGAACATGGCAGCAACCAGTTTACCCCCTTTTAACAAAGCTCCATATGACGAAATCAAAGTCGAAATTTCCTTCCGAATAATCTCCAAACCTTCTTTCTGATCGGGAACTCGTCCACTTTGAAGCAAGTTGTGTCTGTCTGAATACGTCTTAAATTCGTGTTCCTTTAGTTAAAGATCAGAACTTTTTCAGTTTCACCAAAAATCGTATCCGTTTCTGCGTTGAAGAACTCAGTAGCGCTCGGCTCACCTTTCTCTCTGAAATGCGGTGCTCGTGGCTATCCTAAGCCAACAATTTCATGGTCCATCAACGGTGTATCGCTTGATGAATCAGTGGATGGGATTGTCATCGGTGAGTGACGCATGATGTGAAGGGAAAGTGGAACTGTGAGCGCAAAATTCTATGTGGGCCTGCCAAAGTGCTTGCCTTCGTGGCTATCTCATAACAACTTTTCGCATGATAAATTATGGTTCAAATTCTCGTCGTTACATTTTTTACGTTTTGGCTTTTTGCTTCTGCCAAGTAAGTATAAGCCCTTTGGAGGATTTGAAGAATAGCTCGGCATGGAGTTGGCAGATATAGTGGGCCGATTCTAACGGGGTCACCAAGGCTTCTGACCACTGGACACCTCTTCCGACAGGTCATGTTCTTCAACCAGCCCGGCCACGAACTTTCACAGGAAGTTGAAAGTACGTGCGCAAAACTACA